CAGCAATGACCAGAAGAAATGCCAGGGGAGGCAACGATGAAGATGTGGTAAACAAAGACCACAGGTTCACAAGGCAACTGTGGTCCAAGTCATTGATGCTGCGGTGGCACACACTCACTCCCACTGCACAGGCCACGCTTAGCCTAACAGCTCAGGCCTAGGAGGCCAGTCAACTCACTGGCCAATCAGCTTCCTGCATAGTAGCTCAATAGTAGCTTGGAGGATAAGGCAAAGTCCTGCCTGAGAAAAGGACAAGACCTGGGTAGAGACTGCAAAGAAGCAACATGGGATATAAGTAAGGAGCTGATGAACATGGACACAAGATCTTCCAAGAAAAGCAACAAGGGTCAGGGGGGTGAGGGTGCACCCAAGGGAGAGGGCACTCAGGGACGTGGCTGCGGGCCTGGGGGCTGTGAGCATCGTGCTGGCCTGGCCTAGGGGCAGGGGACATTCCTGTCAGAAGCACTGGGTGGACTGTGGGCCTGACCCTGACTATGACGGCTGTGGGCAGTGTGCAGGACGTGCCTGGACACAGAGCTGAGGCTTCTAATCACCCGACAGTGATACCAGCCATAGTCAGGGATATTACCAGGTAAAAAGTCCCGATTCCAAACTGGCTGTGTGCAAACAGGGCCAGACCCCACTGTTCCAGCCAGAAAGGCAGAGGGAGGCATGAGGAAAGACAGGCAGCCCAGACCCTGGCACTCTGCAGACTCCACTGATAGATGCCATTTATCCACAAAACTGATCTATAGCAACAAACTTTTATGCCAATAAACTTTGGAGTGGTTTGTTATGCAGTGGTGACAACTATGGGTGTTGTCAGTAAGATGTGGTGGGAATGCTACTCTAGGAGAGAGAGTGAATGTTGTCTCTAAATCCACTCTAGGAAGAACAGACAAGGCGCTGTTCAGGCTTCACATACCCAGGGAGCGAGGATACAAAGGCAGCCCAGATCTCCTGGTGTCCACAACTGGCAGCCTAGGGGCTAGAGACCCTCCTGTTCTAGACAGTTATGTGATAGAATTTCAGTTCTCTGTGTGAAGAAATACCATCTAAATCTGACACAGAACTATTTTCTTTAATCCCATTTTGGGGCTCGTGAACTTGGAATGGGGTCGGGTAGGCAGTCCCCATTACTTGAAGGCTGGATAGGTTGGCCACTAGTTTCTTGCCTAGAAAATAGTTGGTGCTGGCTTTTGGCCACAAGCTGACTAGTTAGTTCCTGGCATTTCTCTCTCGGACAGCGGTCTCAGAACACATGAATGTACAGCTCCAGTTTCCATCTGTAAATGCACCTCATCCGGACCCTCTGCAAATACTAGGGATTATAGCTCTGTCCCCAAGACAGGTGAGAAAGAGGAAATAGACATCTCATTACAGAGAACCGTTTCAGACCACATATTACTACAGAAGAATGGATTGAGATACACGGGACTACGTTTAATAGTATGGGTAATTACACTGTATTTGGGGAGAAGTCACTTACATGAGAAATCAATGACATACAAGTTCCTGCTCTAAGGATCCATGCCCAGGCTGCTCTCAGTGACCTGACCAGAACCAAGAGAGAGCACTGGGGTCCCACACCCCAAACCTAACCTCCCTCTGTCAAGTCCAAACCTGTGACCATGCCCGTTTGGGTGTGGTCAGTGCTACAGGTGTGGATGGGGTGGATGTCTCACTACATATTACTTCGAGAGTGGGGTCACACACAGTCCTTAAGGGCTGCTGCTTCCCACATACATCTTAAGTGCCATTCTGTCTCTTATCAGCATCCACACATCCAAGAACAAAGATGCTTCCTAGAACAGGAGAAAGTATTTCACTGTCAGTGGGAGAAACAAACACTCAGCCGTTGTGGAAAGCAGTAAGGAGGGAGTTCTTCAAAAGCACCCAGAATTGCCATCTCACTCAGCAATACCATTCCCGTGTTATCATCCCAGAACTGGACCGAGACTCAGAATGCATACCAGACACTCACAGCAGTGTTATTCCCACTCACCAAAAAGGCAAAGAAGACCTGCTGTCTACCAAAGCACAGAGAGAACACACATGACAGACTGTTTGGCTGCTTTAAAATGAATAAGGCTCTGTGCTTTCTACAATGTGGATAAACTCTGAAAACACCGTATTTAGTGAAGTAAGACAAATTTAAAATTTCAAAGACAAGAGTTTAAGGAAATAGATTCATTGATTATTGCCAAGCAGCTTCTAAGTTGCAGACAATCCTATTGTGCCCTAATAGCCAGTGACCACATCAGAAGCACCAGGTCTGCAGGGCAGACCAGAAATGCTGAGCTGCCAGCTTCGCCTGGAGCTGACACTTGAGCAGCATATTTTCAGGCACCCACTTTATAAGCTGACAGAGGTAGAAATCCTAAGATAATTTTATTTGAAATGCAGAAGATAGAGAGCACCAAACATACACCAGAGAAAGCAGTTAGTCTTAAAGAACCTCACAGAACTAACTCCAGGGAGAGCAGTTCCTGGAGGAAAACTTGGGGAGCAGGTAAGAAATAAGGGGGAAACCATCCAGGTGTGTTTAGGCTCAAACTGCAGAAAGTTCTCATGTGGGAACTCAGGCCCGGGCTGAGGAGACGTGTCTCGGGATTGATGTTGGAGCCCAAGTCAGTAAAGTGCAGCTGAGAGGATTTAGGTCTACACTATCTGCCCACACAAGGCCAGGTAATGGCGGTCTTGAAGACACGACTGTACTGATGCTCAGGAAACTGAGTCAAGGACAATAGAACAGTCATAAGGAAAGGAAATCAGGGTAAGGCCACACAGATTTGCAAGGAAGCAAATCTAACCCAGCTCAAGAACTTACATTAGAGTATTGTATGAATGTGAAAAATGAAAGGCAGAATGAAGAGTGTAGACAGGAAGAGAAAGAAAAGAGGATAAAAATAAAGGGGGGGGGGAAGGCGTAAATAGAAAGGGAACATATAAGAATTCTGGAAAAGTATGAACAGGCAGGAGCATAACAGGAGAGAAGGATGTGAAGGATGTGAACAGCCAGGAGGGGCATGGCCAGTTAAGAAAAAAAGGTTAAGGACAGGTTAGAGGGATTTTAGCCAGGCAAGAGGGCTACAATAAACAAGTAGGACTGAGGGGCAGAGACAGGTAAAATAAGGGCCATGGATGTGGAGACAAGAAGGGAGACAGGTAAGAGAGAAAGACAGACAGACAAGAGGGGAGAAGAAAGTGAGGGGAATCAGAAAAGGGAAGGGTGAAGACTGAGGGCATCACACAGGTAAGACACGACACGGAGTATCGGGAACAGGGAGGAGAGCTTTGGTGGCACTGATGGCCACACCAATGATCCCTCCCTTTCCTGGTCGCTTTATTACCGCCTTCATGCAGGGCCACCCTCCATTCTCTTAAACTGCTGTTGTGGAGTTCACAGCCCAGGCCTCACTTGCTCTGGCTCTGCTCTAAAGTCCTAGCCTGAACAGTAAGTACACTTGGCCAAACACATCTTATGGTATAAAAGCTTACAGTCATCAATGAGTGCCTTGAGATGTACACTCCATTAAGTGAAACAAATTAAGCCCTCATGTCCTCTGTAACACAAAGGACACGAGGAGGGTAGGTGCTACCCAACTGGGATGAAAGCTTGTCTGTCTTTCCCTCTTAGCTGTCTCCCTTCTTTGCTTCACGTCCATGGTCCTCATTCTACCTGTTCACAAGAGTCTCAGTTGACGCCAGGCAAGCAAGAGGCCTTAGTGGCCTCTCGTGGCTACAGACGATAGGGTCCCTGGGTCACCAGAACCTGCAACATGGGGACCACATACAGTGCCTTCTAAACCAGCTGTCATTTTCCTCTATTTAATTTTGTTAAAGATCTTCAAATGAATGGATTACTGTATGGTCAGCCAAGAACAGACCTAGGCCTAATGGTAAAACCCTTAAATTTGTAAACAATAAAACTGAGTTCTAGGTAGCTCTTTGGGGTGTCTATTAGAACTGAAGATTCAGGATCTGCCAGCAAAGGCAAAGAATAGAGAAACAGACATTGTACCAGGAGTGTTAGAACCCCAGATAGAGAAGGGTACAGTAACTTTATACATATTGAGGCATCTGGATCCTTAAGAAAAAAGTAGACCGTTCTCCAGTGATTATATATAAAGTAATGGCATACGAGGCCTGGGCATGCGTCATGCCTCAGTAACATACAATGTGCTGAGGAAGCCTGGGGCCATTCATGACATGACTTGTTTTCTGTACATCTGCATATTCAGTATTTCCCAATTTTTAGAAAACTATTTTTTGAGAAGGCGTGCTCTGTAAACAGGAGATAAACAAAAGTGTACATTCAGCTGGCCCTAACACATTACATTTATCCCAGTAAGTAAGAGTTCTGCCCCTGGCACATAAGCTGACTTTTGGGAACCCATCCCCCATGCTGGGCTGGCAGATGCTGGGCCTTGACTGCCTCTGCACAAGGTGACAAGACAGTCTCTGGTGCCTAAGGGGATAAATAGGGGACCCTACAGAGGAAAACCATATCATTGCCTCCATAATGCCCACAAAACCTCATTCAGCAGAACTGGTGAGACCTAAGTCAGTGGCTACAAGGCGAAACTATGTCTGGTCTCACACTAGCAACCAGTATTACAGCCATCCTCCATCTACTTCTAGATCCCGCTCTTCATGCAGAGCCACGGCCATGCTCTGTCCACTGCTAAAGCGATTGTGTATTTGATTCTGGAGCCACTGTGGCTTCCAATTCTATGCACAGCCACCTGGGATATGTTAAAGACACACTGCAAGAACTAAAATGCTTTCTTTGGATTCTGAGCAACAGTACACTGACTGACCCGTCAAAGCTCAAACATGGGTATGTCCCAGCTAGACACTATCTAATAGTGTATAGATAACTGAAGATACAAAGACCATACCATGGCAGAATGTGTCAAGAAGTTAGACATGGTCCCAGGGGACTCTAACCTGAAACAGTTGAGCCTATAAACAGTCAAACACCCAGTGGTTGTCACCTGTGTCAACAGCTGATCAGATGTCAACTGGTTGATCCAACGTGTGTATCGCTCTGTAGAGTCTGGGGGGTCTCTCCTCACTTGGCACCCTATGATCTGTGAAAAAACAATAGATTTTAAGTGGGATGATACCCATGAATTGGGGGCTGACTTAAGAAAAAGTCCCTGGCATCAAGAGGAAGAGAACAGAATGCCAGGTCCATATGAGACAGTCCCAAGAAATGTCTAATAGTGAATACAGTCCATCTCATAAAACATTCCCTTAAAATATGTCTCCATCTCAGAATAGGGTACCACCTCAAAAACAAAACAAACAAAAACTCCGCTTCATAAAACATCCCTATATCCTCAGAACACATCCCCATCTTAGAACATGTTCCTATTCCCTCAGAACATGGCCCCATCTCAAAACACATTCCTACGCCCTTAAACACAGCCCCATGTCAGAATGTGTTCCTGTTTGTTTCTGCTGAAGCTCATGGCATCTCAACAGGGTCTATCTCTGGGGAGTCTCTGAAGAGTCCTAGTGTTAGTTGAATGAGATCCAGATGCCACTAGACTGGCAAAAAGGAGGTGGCAGAAGTGCTGTATAGGCCCAGGTAGGCTGACTGGATGTGTATGTATGCAAATGAGGCAAAAAACAAGGACTAATCAATCAGGAGGGATGTGCCAAACCCAGGAAGCAAAAGCTCACCAAAACCTCGAGAGAGTTCACAAACAGGCTCCCTCCTGCCCCTTGATATTACAGCCATGTTACAGTGAAAGTAGAAACAGAGGAAAAGTGGAGGAAGAAATGTGACGACCATCCCCAACTGTTTTTCCATGGGTTCTAGCTCTTACTGAGGTCAGGCAAAGCAGTCCATTTTGCCTGTGGAGTTAGTACCTAATCCAGGAACTGAGGGCTGTCAAATGGCAGCCAATTACTATCAGCTGCAATTGTCACTGGGAGCCATTTACAACCATTTATCCTGGCTGAGCAAAAGCAGCCTGTTGCAGACATCAGAAACTTGAGAGAGGAACAAAGGTCTTAACTCTTATTATCACCTCATAACCTGCCCCTGTTGCCACAGAACCCCATTTCATGTCCATCCACACTTCAGAACCTGTCCCCATCTCAGAACACATCCATTCCCACCTCAGAAAGCACTCCCAGAACATGCCCCACTTCAGAACATGTTCATCAACAATTCCTAAAATTACTTCCCCATTTCATGACAATTATCATGGTGCCACATGAACTTCCTGACCTGTGACATTTTCTCAGCTTTGGGTCTTGGCTGCTCTGCTTCCTGACCTCACCCGTGACTTCCTCTCTTCCAACTTCTTACTTCAACCTAGGCACTTCTAGCCTTGGCCCCTGCCATCACAATCTGGATAAAACCTACGCTTTCTGCTGAAAATGTACTAATATCAGGTCTAAACAACTTCCCAGACGCTTGAAGTTCCAGAGACTGATACCTAAGTAGATCTTGGAGGCTGTGTTCCAATACCAGCTTTACAGCAAAGGATTGATGGTTATGGGTGTATGGGTGGAGCTGGGATAGGGTATTAGGACTGTCTATAGGAAGCAGAGACCACTTCCTAGTGGGGACCATTTCAGAGGACATTGTACTTTTGACACTAGTGTCAATTTTCCCTGGGCTGCTGGTTTGAAGCAAATTACTTATTATCCTCTATTTCTCTTTCTCTTTTCCTTTCCCTGTCTTCACTTCTTTTTATTTATTTACTTTTTTAATAGGGTCTTCCTATGCAGACCAGGCTGGCCTGAAACTGTCTGCCTCTTGATTACTTGGGTTACAGGTATGTACTACCACTGTGCCCAGTTTGATGTGAGGGCACCGCAGTCCTTGCTTCATCCCGACGGCTGCTTCCGGAAGCTTACAGGACTACAAAGCCTAGCCTCCCTCTTCAGAATCATTTCTGAACCTCATCTGAAGTGCCCCAGAAGCACCATGTGAAGCCCATGGCTGCCATTCCTGGAAAGGTGCTGTGGAAAAGACCAGCAAGAAGCAACATTCATGCCATCGTCTCCAGTGGAGCCTAAAGTACAGTGCATAGTAACCTGACACACCTGTCTCTATATGACCCTGTAATGCCTCAAGGACCAAGGATGCCATCTGAAAATATTTCCCAGCGGTTCCACTGTTCATTAAAATTAAACTGCTCTGAAAGATTCTGTTTCTTGAATAGTAGTCCTCATACTTTCTGACCCTAGCCTGGGTTTGGGACTCACAGTGCTGCTAGAGTGCCCTTGTATTCTTGGCTGACATGCTAGCCTGGTTCTCCAAGACTTCCTCAGCTTCATTCCACAGAAGAGCTGCTGCACAACAGATCCAGAAACCCACAGCCACTGCGCTCGCTCTGGTCAACTGGCTTCTGCTCTCCTCACCAGAGTCACTTCTTGAACTGTAACTCATGCTGAAAAGATGGCCACCATCATCTTTGGGTTGTGTTCTTGCCTCATATGCAAGATAACAGTGACACTGAACTCGGGATAAAGCTCCTGTATTGTGAGGACAAGGGTTAGTGTGGTGGTTTGAATGAAAATGGCCCTAACATGTTCAGACACTGAATACTTAGTCTCCAGTTGATGGCACTATTTGGGGAGGCTTAGGAGGTGTGAACTTGCTGAAAGTATGTCACTGAGGGTGGGCTTTGAGGGTTTAAAGCCTCATCCTACTTCAGTTCACTCTCCCTGCTTCATGCTTGCATTTGAAAATGTGATCCCTCAGCTTCTTGCTCCGGATGCCATGGCTGTTTGTAGCGGCATCTTGTGTCACCAGTGGACTTGCTGTGGTGGCCGCATCCTAAGGGTGTGGCTTCAGGTGTGCAGACATGACCCCTTGTAAGGAAGACGAGGGGTTGGCTCACTCTCTTGGGTAGTAGTCAGGCAAAGACTGCATCTTCAGGATTCGGAAGACTGAGGCAGTTATTCAGTATTAATTGTGCAAGTGCTTCCCTAATAAATACCTGTTTATCATTTATCTTGGGTCTTGTGGACTCCTTTAAACCCCGCCTTCAATTGGCACCCAACATGGGGCAAATTGCCTCTATGCTGCTGTGTGTCCCCATCACAATCTCTCTAGAACCATCGCCAAAATGAGCTCTTTCTGCTGTAGGTTGCCTCGGTCATGGTCAGAGCGACAGAAAAATAACTAATGCATTTGGTGATGGTGTGCTAGGGTTTGAAGTTCATGCCTCTGACAATGGACAAGAATCAGTTGGGTTGAAGCTCTTGCATCACTGGGTAGACAAAAGTCAGTGAAATTCTACTTAGGGGCAAAGCACCCACCATAATTTATGCTCAAGAGTCAGTGAGACTTTACCCAGAAGCAAAGCTCCTGCTTTGCTAAGCGGTAAGTGGTGAGACTATACCTATGGGAAAGCAAAGATTTCAGTTTACTTTGTAGACAAGGGTTGGTGAGGCTCTTCTTGCGATAAGGTTCCTTCCTTACCAAGAGTTTAAAGGTCAGGGTGACTTTACTTAGGGGTGAAGCTCTAGATTCACCGGGTAGGAAAGGGTTAGTGAGATTATTTAAGGATGGCCTCTCACTTCATAAGTAGTCAATAAGACCATATAGCTGGATGTGTTAGTGGAATATTCCTTTACACTGTGTAAATATATGTCACTGTGATTGGTTAATAAAGAAGCTGACTGGCCTATAGCTAGGTAGGATATAGTTAGGCTGGAAAACCAGATAAGAGAAAACTGGGAAGGAGGAGGAGTCTGAGGAGTTACCAGCAGATGCAGAGGAAGCAGGAGATGAATTTGCCATACTGAAAAGAGGTACTGCCATGTGGCAGAGTATAGATAAGAAATATGTGTTATTATTGGGGCATCTGTGCTGGCCTGCCCTTGGGGTTCTGACAGCATACACTCTCAGCCACTGAGAGCACCACCTGTGCACATTCCCTACACTCCCTTTTAAAAGAGGCCTGCCCACCTCTCATCTTTCTCTCTGCTTCCCTGCCTGTTTCTCCCTCCCTATCTCTCCCCTCTCTTCTTTCCCCGCCACTCCTGTCCCCAGAGGCCAGTCTCCCCTTTTTCCCCCTCCCTGCTTTTCACATTCACTCCCCCGCCCCCAAGAAAACCTCCACCCCAGCTCTGCCATGTGCTATTTTAAAATTTACAATATGGGTTAATTTAAAATATAAGAGCTAGTTTAGTAACAAACCTGAGCTATCGGCTGAGCATTTATAATAGTAAGTCTCTGTGTGTTATTTGGGAACTGGATGGCGGGAAAGAAAAGTCCACCTAAGGGGAAGCTCCTACCTTACAGGTTTAACGAGGGTCAGTTGCAGTTGTAAGGGAAGCTCCTGTCTCATTCAGTAGTTAAGAGTTCAAAGACACGGACTTGAAAGGATAGGAAACGCTACTTCTGTGGTCTTTGAAACTGCTTCCTCATGAGAATGCTTACTCTGTAGAGATAAGCCCTGGGGGAGGAAGGCTCATCTATACTTAGAGCTTATGACTGATGTTCTAATATTGAGCTTGATTTTTGAAGCCTACTGATACTCCTGACACTGACAGCAGATGACATTCACACATCCTGTGTACAAGGATTCCAAAAAGAACTATCAACCATCTAGTGTTTGTCCTGAGGCCGTTCACCACCATGCTTGTCTGTAGCGGGACACACAAATGGGATGATGTTACTTTCCTGCCTTCACCCTTGGTACCCCTGATACCAAGTGCTTACCACCACTCTTTCCTTCATGCTCTGCTCAGGAATCCAGTGGGAGGGCACTGGGGATCCTGTAGAGCCAGCATGAGGCTTCCCACACTATTTTACCAGCTCCAAAACTGTCTAGACTGCAAAGGTTCAGAGGACTGAAGAGAAGAACTAAAATAATAATAATAAATTACATTTAGAGCTGCTAATAATGCCTAAAACATACAATCCAACAATTCTGCAGTGATCAAATAATGGAACACATCGTCACTGCTGCCATCAGGGGGCTTCCCTTCCTTAGTAAGCGGTTTTCTTGTAAACGGCCTAAAAGAAGTAACAGCAGGGTAGGAACACACTGCCAACATTCATTTCATTCCTTTTGAACAAACTAAGCATAATAATCAACAGAGCCACCAACCAGCAACTACAGATTAGGACTTTGTAAGCCATGATTTCAAACCCAGAATCCCAGTGACTGCTTCTTCTCGGGCTAATTTTGTGTTACGGAGCCAATGGTCTGGACAGACTGAGTGAGGAAGAGAAAGAACAGATATACTTCACCAGTCTCTCAGGTTAGGAGGAAAACGTGGCACAAGGCTCTCTACTGAATGCTGAACAGAGTAAGAATTCAATGAGGTTGAGCGAGAAAAGTCATAATCTAGAACTTAAAGCAATATATTTAAAAATAAAGTCAAGGATGATTTAATTATGAGGAAAAAGTGACTATTTTTAAACTCCTGAACATCTCTGAATAGAGTTCATTTCAATGAATGCCTCAAAAACTACAGAATTATGTTCATTAATGCAGCCAAACTGCTTACTTTTGGGTAGAAATGAAAGAAATTAAGACATCTGAAAAGAATATGGCTCTCTATAATGTCAATACTTGTTAAAAAAAAAAAATTCTTCACAAGTTTCCAGGGTACACTATATTAAAGTCTTTGGAAACTCTCGTTTCTGAGTAAAACATATGGCACCTTACATGAGAACCTGAGCCACATACACCTGTTTTCTGCTGGGGCAGAGACAGGCTTTGTGTCTCCATTTCAGAGTGACATGATTGTTGGGACAGGCGAAGCACAGAGGAACATGCCCTGCAGAGTCAGAGGCAGCAAGTCGTCTCAATTCAGAGCAGTGCGATTCTGATCCTGGGCTTGTCCTTTACTGACTCCCATGACCACCATTATCTCACTGTCAGCCACGGAGCAGGAACTTCTGGAAATCCTAGCCTTCATGTTCCCTTCACATACACAGCACAGAAATCTACCTAGGAGACTTGATCCTAACGAACATACCATACCAGCAAACAGTGTGTTTCTCCATATGATGAGGATACCAGCCAACATCTTTGGAGCCTGGGGTAGCAAACCCTGAGGCCTAGTGATTCCCATCCTGCAGAGTCAAAGCACATCACTGCCCGGTGTAAACAGAGTTCCCACCGGCTCCACAACAGCACACGCTGTCAGGTACTGCAGGCCATCTTCCAACATCTTTCCCAATTAGAAAGGGGAAATCAAATACTCTATGACTTTGAACTTAAAAAAAAAAAAAATCCAGAGTCTGTGGTCACTGAACACTGTGATTTGTGGTTCCTTAGCTCTTTTACTCACAACCCTTTCAGAACACAATGAATGTTACGGATCTTCATTTTCCTCACTGAAACATAGCTCACAGAAGTCCTGCAGACACCCTGGAGCCCTGAGTCCCCCACAACCTTTTATAATCAGATTGATCCCCTCTGCTCCTAGGAGGGCAGTGTATATATTCTATATTTCCGTCTATTCTCTCACACTAACACACACTACTTCCTACATGGGCAGAGTAGCTTGTGTCCTTGCCCTAAAACTCTATAGTAGAAGTTGTTTTGAGATTTCCCAAGGCAAAGCTCAGCATCTACCTTCTATGCAGACAGAAGTGATTAAACGGTCGGAAGCAGCCTCAAGGGTAGGTTGGGTAGGATGGGCTGGAGAGAGAGTAAGGCAGGCTGTCTGAGTAATAGGGACTGATCTGGCCACATACTCTACCTGAAACAATGCCACCCCCAAAAGTCACCGAGCTACCACCCTCTCTGGCCAGGGACCTCTCCAGGGCAATCAAGGCATTTCCTCTTGTCTTACAGGTATACTCCACAGCATCAACAATTCCAGCTCAGGGTACATTAAGTCTTCAGCCTCTGATTTGAAATTCCAGGAAAGGTAACTCCCTACTTCAGAAAATGCAGGCCTGAGGTCTGTGTCTATAAACTCAAGTGTCAGTGACTAGACCTCAGATCAAAGGGAGGGGAAGGTGAGAAATAAGTAAAAGGTGCCAATTTAGTAAAAGCAAACACTATGTGAGCTACACTCAGAGTTCACAGAACAATGCCTGTTGGAGGATAACCAGTTGCCCTGATGCCTCAAAAGTATGTTTTGGAAAGGTTGTTTTTATAAGCTTTCCCTTTTGAATGGACCAGTGTAATATGGAAATAAAGTGTAGTCCAACTTCATCTTACATGGAGTCCAACTCCCTGTTAAGAGCAACAACCTGTCCTGGGTGAGTGGGAAAGATAACACTGCATCATAAAGCAAGCAATCGAGAGAGACAAAAGGTAGGGGAAGGATAAAAATCTTTCTACCTGTTTCAAAGTGACAACCGCTTTCCAAAATAACAGGATAGAAAGAGTGAACATTAAGGGGACAGGGAAAAGAAAGGAACCCCCTTCACCCAAGAAGGGATTTGCTTGAAGTCTTTCTCTAGCTGAGAGTCAAGAATTCCAGTATAATTAGTAAAAGTCTGCTGTGGAGGTTAACAATTTGTTTTTATACAGAGATATTTCAAGAGTGTTAAAATACCAACAGATCATGCTGAAGGCCTAAGCATGTACGACCTTATTGCATTTGGGCCTACTCCTTTTCCAGCTGTAAAACTTCAATTTTCTGAGAATCTCAAAACAGTGTAAACATAGTTTACAGTAAAAATATGTCTTAACTAACCTAATATAGTAAAGATCCCTTGAACTCTCCTGGCCTATGGTTTTACCTTATTAACTTTTAATCCTGTCCAACGCACCTCAGGAACTACCCTCTGACCTCATTTACAAAAGAAACAAAAAAAGACAAAATAATTTCTTAGAATCCTTTAAACAATGTAACTTCAGAAGCCACCAAAATTTTTTTTTGTTTTGTTTTTGCTGTGGGATAATCCTTTTGTATGCTGTAAGTATTGCTCTCATTAGTTAATAAAGACGTTTATTTGGCCTATAGCAAGGCAGAATAAGGCTAGGCAAGAAAGCCAAACTGAAAATACAGAGGAAGAGGGGCAGAGTCAGAGAGACAGATGTGATCCAGCTGGCAGAGGAATAAGTTGTGTTAGAGATCAGGCAAAGCCATGAAACCACATAGCAAAATGTAGATCAATAGAATGGGTTAATTTAAGTTGTAAGAGCTAGTTAGTAATATGCCCGAGCCATAGGCCAAACAGTTTGTAGTTAATATTTGGAACTGGGCAGTCGGGTCAAAGGAAAAGCTCTACCTCTGTTTACATGTTTTATTTTGTTTTTTGAGACAGAATTTCTCTGTATATCCCTGGTTAACCTAGAATTCGCTCCACAGACCAGGCTGGCTCGGAACTCAGATCTACCTGCCTCTCTGCCTCTTGAGTGCTGGGATTAAAGGCGTATACTATCACCTCTTGGATATGTATAGCTATTGATAAAGACCCTTAAATGGCTCTCTTGAGAAGTCTATACTCATACTTGGTATAGATAGCATCTTTTCCTAAATATTCGTTTATTAATGCACTGCTTGAATCTATGTTAAAAATCTCTTCTTAATAAACTCTAACTCTACTTCATAGTGACTTGTCCTGACATCCTTTTCTTTGGTGAAGTTAAGAATTATGATCTCAGTGGAGTTCTTGCAAAAAAAAATGCCTTAGACTTCTATAGGCAGCAAGGTAGTTTTATATGGTAATATCTTGCTTGTACAAAGATCAGAGGATGGAGCTTGCCACTAGCTAACCATAGAGGTCTGGAGGTCTGTACAAACAGACAGGAAATGAGATGGCTGGGTGGAAAGAGAATACAAGCGGGAAGAAACAGGAACATGCTCTCTTGTCTGCTGCGATGCTAAGGAGATAAAGGTGGCTTTGTCTTGTTCCTTCTCTGATCTCTCAGCACTTTCCTCTATATTTAACTCCCAAGTTTTTATTATTTAGACCAACTGAGAACTCCTTTTTACATTTTGGCACCCATTTTTTAAAAATTATAAGCCATTTGGCCTATTGCTCAAGCTTATTATCATCTAGCTCAACTTAAATTAACCCATGATTCTCATCTATGTTTAGCCACGTGGCTTGGTACCTTTTCTCAGTGAGGCGTTCTCACACCTTGCTTCCTCTTTGTCTGGCTGGCAACTCACTCCCTGCCTTCCTCTTCCCAGAATCCTCCTAGTCTGGTAACTACTCCACCTCTATGTCCTGCCTGGCTACTGGCCAATCAGCGTTCCATCAAACCAATATGAGTGACGCATCTTTGCAGTGTACAGGAGCATCACCCCACGTCAGGTTTGTGTCTAGTTCCTACTCCTGTTGCCACTAGCCAGAAGCAAACTTAAAGGCTCAGAAACATGGCAGTCACAAATCTCCCCCTGACTGACTGGACTGTAAACAGATTCTTTCTACTCCCAAGGAATAAAATCTTTGTCATTAAAAAAAAAAAAAAAAAAAATGACTATCATTTCATTAAGGTGGTGGCAACACAGGAAGGGTGTTGTACTCACACTCGTTGGGTGCTGAACAGCAGCTTCATGTTGCAGCCTCACTCTCTGGGGCATCATAACATCATCCTATATAAAGAACACATTTTATATTAATATAAAGCAACTTCAACATAGTAAGAAAGGCACATACATAGTCCAAGAACATAACAGCAAACAACGTGAGTAGGCAACTCAGATGCTCATAAACTGGGACCCTCATTGGTCATCAAGAAAAAGCAATTATATGACTGGTGGGAAAAGAAAATTCTGGCAGTTTAAGTGTACTCAGGACAAGGACCAACAAAAATACTCATGTGCCTGTGTGAAGTATCATGATTGTTCTCAGACATGTTTTGGCATCATCCAGTAAAGCTGGAGGTAAAAGACTCCTTAAGACTTAACAATTTTACCATCTGCATAGAAAAGGTCCTCTACCCAGTAAGATTTGGGCAGCACTTTCCAGGCACAGAAAATTCTCATCAATAAACAAACTACATCCATTACTGCTTTCAAAGGCCATTCAATGGGGAATGCAGTCATAGCTGCTCAAATCAGTAAATCCAGGACAAAAGAACAGGTACGATATCACTTCACAGACTTAAATCAAGCCCTAGGAAAGTTGACCACATTATTTGCACATATAATGAAAACAATAAAGAAAAATTAGGGCAGTGTGGCCCCAAAAGCCCAAACTTGAGGTCCTTTTGGGCAAGAAGTTGCTTGAAACAGCATCATGGCAGATACCCAAGGTGTTGGTGATAGGCAGCTAAATAAATACACACACACACACACACACACACACACACACACACACACACACACACACACCAATACAAGGTTTTGTGCATTTTTCTATAGGAATGTTTCATTTCATAGTAAAATAACTATTTTCAGTGGACAAATAATCAACCAAGATTTAAATATTTACAGGGGTATGGAATAGGTAACAAGGGAAATCCTTCTAGAATAATGCTACAATGATTGGACCAGAAATTAAGGGACTATCTGCCACTCTGGACTCATTATGTCCAAAAATAAACAGAGAAAGAAAGGGGTCACGGTGTGTGCCAAGGTGGCTGACCCAGACTAGTGGGGGAAACGAGATGACTTCTCTACAAAGGTGACTAGGAAGAGTGGAGTACAGGTCATTTTTTAAAGTTAGTCTCTTAGTATTACCATGCTGTTATTCAGGCCAATAAGAAACCACAGAACCACAATCCAGGTAGTATAACAAATGTCCCAGACCACTTACAGAATAAAGGTGTTAGTCAATTTCCTGATAAAGCCAACTCCACTGAGGTGCTTCATAAGGATCATGAGATAGAGAACTATGAAATAGAGACAGAAAGAGGTGCCTATTGCCAACACCTCGTGGATTTGCCAGCAACTTCCTGCCCAAGGGACCTCAAGTTTGGGCTTCTGGGGCCATACTTTGTCTTCAATTGTGTGCATTTAACAAATAATGTGGTCAACTTTCCTAGGGTTTCAATTTAAGTATGTGAAATGATACTGTATCTGTTCTTTTGTCCTAGATTTACTGATCTGAGCAGCTGTGACTGCATTCCCCATTGAGTGGACTTTGAGACAGTTATAATAACTATGAGCAACATAGTTGCTCATGTGACCAATTACAGAAATGAGGCTATCAAAGTTATAATATCTTACTTTGTTATAAACATATTAGGTGAACATCTTTGTTTTCTTCCTTCCCGTATTTTCCTCATTTCAGTTTTGGGTTATCAGAAGACTCAACATCACTTGAAGACAATGACTCTTTAACAAAGGGACTGCAAATGTTCAGTTATAAGCAGCAGAGTTGCCCTGTGTATTACAACCCCACCTAACTCTGGCTGGACCCAAGTGTTGTTGAAGGAGATGCGTATGTGTGCCAGGTCAGCAAAGGGTGGACATGCAATGACTAATTTTATGTGCTAACCTGACTGGCTTAAAGGCTGCCCAGAAAAGTGGCAAGATACTTATGTCTGTAAAGATGGATCTGGGAGAGATGAATATTTTTATCAGTGAACTGAGACCAATTCCCCCCACCCTCTACACTTCTCTCTTGCACACACGCACACACACGCGCACACACACACACACACACACACACACACACACACACAGACACACACAGAGCACCTTGCCATTCCACTTATCTGGGTTCTTACTAATACACATGTAATTAACCAAGATTCCAATTTTACACTTCGGAGATCTATGCAAAAAGCAGGAATGGTCAGTATTGCTTGGCTCTCAAGAGCCTAAAAAATACTCAAATGTGATTTCCAACACTTCTGCTGTTAAGAGTCAACAACGACAATAAGAGAAAAGGGAGAACAAATAGAATTAATACACTCACTGGCCAAATGGCTGAGAAGCTAAGGAAGACATAGCGAACAGATATTCAATCCAAAGAGTTAACAGAGAAACAGGTACTAAACTTTACAGAGCCAGGTGACAGAGCCAGGTGACAAATAATAATAGGTCTTTATCTCCTAAGAACACCATAAAGAAGGTGGTCCAGAGACTAGAGAATGAAAGGTCTTTTTCTTTTTCTTTCTTTCTCTCTCTTTTTTTTTTTTTTTTTTTTTTGGGTAAATGAAAGGGAGAACTTTGATAACAGGTCAGAAGTGTTATTGCAGGGAGGAGACCCATTTCCCCTTCTTGGAGGCCAAACTTGACCCACTGGCTCCTACTCCGTTAACAAGATCAGCTAGCATTTGAAATGTAGAGTAGAGGTGCTAAAGGACCAAATCCCAGATGCTGTCAGCACCAACCATGAAAGCAGAGTACATTCATCTCAGGGCTCATGCCAAGGAGCTTTCTTCTCAGTGAGAAGTAGATTTAGAAATCATTCCTGGCATTCCTGGATGTGCATTAAAATTCCCAGAGGGGCTGAAATCCCACAATTATGAACAGAGAATCATCACTGTGGGATAATGGGGCAGCCCAAGAGAAGAAACTGGAAATATCACTGAAAGTATTAAGGCCTAGAAAGACGGTCAAAATCTTTGAGTTCAGTTCCCAGCATCAAATGGCTCATAACCACCTACAACTCCAGCTCCTTGGAGCCAATATCCTCTTTTGGCAACTATACACATGGTGCTCCTCTCTTTTTCTCTGTGCCTCTCTCCCTTAATCTCTCTGTTGGTCTGTCCGTCAGCCATCGTCCGTCTCCGTCAGCCGTCGTCCGACTCTTGTCTCTCTCTGTCTCTTGTGTCTCATTTTAAAGAAGCACTGAGTAAGAATGAAATGCTATTCCTTCCTGACATAAAAATATCTGATGAAAGGCTGCTAGTCAAGAGAACTGAGAATAAATGATAAGATAGGCTTCCAGTGAAGTCTCTCCGAGCATGGTACCCTTGAGAATGACAGGTGCAGAGAGGCCTTGGGAGCACTAACTGTGCCTGCCACAGAGAACACACTCACCTTCTTTAAAACTTCCTGCGTTAGGCTTTTAGATGAGATATGTAAACTTAGGGAGAGAGAAAAAATCCCAGCCAATTCCTGAGCCTGTTCTGAATGTAGTATTTGGTGATTTGCACACACCAAAGGGCTCCTTGACCCACTGACCTGTTGAGTTTTCCCCTTATCATCAGTGCTGTCAGGCCCTGACCTGCTGGAGTCATTCTCTCTGCAAAGGTCCTGTCTAACTCCAACACTTGAGATCCCTTCCCTGAGGATCCCAAATAAAACTGACAGAGAAGCCACAGGATGTCAGCAAACCAGACAGACGGCTGTCACATGCCACTGGATGGCACAGCAAATCACTGGCAATCCACTGCTATTCTGTGGGCCAAGCAGAATGTGCTGGCCCAGTGACTATTCCCCAAACCAGAAGCTCCAGTACTTATTATCTCCCTTCCTCTCAAACTATGCACACTCCCTAACCTCCCATATAGCAATAGCATATACACTCTGAATCACCAGGCTGGCGTTGACCACACATGTGCCGCAAATTCCTCAATCACGTATGTGTGGTCCTACTTCATCTTTCTCAGTTTGTTACAAAGAACCTTGAGGAGGATAAAGGAGCTGTCTTCAGCTCTGTATCTCTTCAGCCCTGCAACTCTGAAGACCTCTGCTAGGACTTTCCATCCAATGCAATCCTAGGGTCCCTGGCTTATGGGCTCATACCCTTCAAGAATATGCCCAATTCAGATGCCATGTTACCTGGCTACGAATGGGTAGTTTTCGAGCAATCTGCTGACAGGTTCGTTTGGCTAATGGAAAAACAAATTCCATTTTCAGTTGATTAGAAAGGACACAGTAAAGGACACAGGTGGACAGTGAGATGGTAATGTATAAACAATAAGGCCCAAGGAACCCAAGTATGGGGCTTTTTATTTCCATGGGATTGGGGTATGCCACCCTCTGGGACTTTTCACATGTCCACACCAGACATTTTCTGAGTTCCTCTGTTTATGGAGGTTTACAGAGGCTTCACCAGGTCTAATCTCCAGCCCTGGTCCCCTCTCTGGCACCAGAGGCTGAAATTGCCATGTTTCTACTACTCCAGTTTTTGGTGGCCAGCTTCATACCAACCATCAGCCATCAAATCACCTCTGAAAATAAATGACATTGTCTGGGTGCTGTATTTTGGATATGGAGTATCTCCACAATGCCCATGTGTCAAGGTCCCTAGCTTAGTACTGCAGGGAAGTAATAGAAGTTTGAAGAGATAGGACCTTATTTTAATGGAGGAAGGCTAATTTACTGTGATGTACTTTAACACCATAAAAAGTATGACTTCTTTAATTTAGCAGAATAACTTCCATTTTATTTTAGGCTTTTTTGAAACAGGTTTTCTCTGTAGCTTTGGCTGTCCTTGGACCCACTCTATAGACCAGGCTTAACCCCAAACTCACAGGGATCCAACTACATCTGCTTCCCAGCGCTGAGATTAAAGGTGTGTGCCCACCACCACCTGGAATAACTCCCAGCCTTAAACAACGTAAGTCCACCTAAAATTATAGACACACTCACATGAAAATTTGTAGTTCCTTGCAAAGAGCTAGCTATACGGCAAGATAAAACTAATCAAAAAGACAGGAATGAGATATGAGCCTCAGGTCCCAGTTTTTCCTTCCCTCCACATCTCTCATGAACTTTTAGTTACACAAAGGCTCAGAGTGAACAGCTCTTCTGTTTCCTGAACTTGAAAGTGGAGACAGAAACATCTGGGTAAAGCTCAGCAGAGCAGCAGCCCACACAGATCTTTTCTGCCAGGTACACACACAGGGCCAAAAACAGCCAGTTCTCACCTGCTTCCGAAAGCTGAAGTGGGTTCTACATAGGTAATACAAATGCTGTTTCACAAACAACCTCACACTACAACAGACAGGCCAAATGCAGCAATCACAGAGACACTTCCTCATCCAACTGGCAACATCTGCCTTCAACAAGTTATGGACAAGCATGCTGTCCAAATACAATAAAGATGACATTATGCAGAACTCTGACTTCAAAATGTCAGACCTCCCAAGGTAATCATGTGGGGTCAATTCTCCTGTCCCTTGCATGGAAGGGGGGGGGGTGCCATCTCCTGGTCTATGTCACCTGGAATAACCAACTGGAAACAGAAACAAAACTTGTAACAGCTGTATAAACCAAAAGCCAACATATCCATGGGCCCTGGTATGCATGTTTCTAAGAAGCCAGGGGCCCAACCTATGAAATAATTTATATACATAAAAGTTGTATTTGTTTAACACACTTTGCGTGCTTTGCTTTAGTTTATCAGGGTTTCTAAGGACAGCACAATTTGTATACAGTCTCTGTTCACCAAGTGTCCTATTCCTAAGGATGACCCATAAACATGACAGTTCTCCGACAGTCTGCTAGTGTTCTCCATCAGTGCTCAGCCAGCACACAGTAATCAGTTTCTAATTTCTGTTATAATAAACAACTATGAAAATCAGGAGTCAAAGGCACAAGCATTTTAAGTTCTTGGACAAAAATGTACAATCATGCCGTCAATGTGGCACCAATTCACACTGAAATACTATCTACATTCTGAAACCTTAATGTGCTTTGTGGAAGTATCTTGCTAACTTAATTTGATTACAAATATAAATTTTAGTATAACTTTGATTGATATGACTCTGTATAGGTGTATCTGTCACCTATGGGTATACTCCTGACCTCTACCTATGCATCTGCTTCATGTTTTGCTTTGGCTGTCATGGACTATTTACATTTCCATATCTTAATCTCTTAAGTATCATATTTGCTAGTATTGTGCTTATTTTAATGTTGTTTATATTCTTTGTGGTCCTGTTTTACATTATTGTATGATCTTACTTATTGTTAATTAAGTGAAATGGCAGTGTGTACAACAACCTATTAAACTTCTGAGATTCATCATAACATATCTAAAAATGTATTTTTAAGTAACCCAGTCACAAAAAGAGGAACATGGTATGTACTCGCTCATATATGGATTTTAGACCTAGAGCAAAGGATCAGCAGCCTATAATTCACACCAAAGGAACTAGGGTACAAGGTGTATTCTAAGAGATTCATATAAAGTCCTTCACAGAAGGGGGAAGGGATAAGTCCCCCAGAGCACAGGGGAAGTGGGGGGCAGCGAATGGAGGGAGGAGTAGGAGAAAGAGAAGGGGAGGAAAGGAAAGCACATATGACTAGGAAGGTTGAGTCAGGGTAGGAATAGAAGGCAGGAGAGAGAGAGAGAGAGAGAGAGAGAGAGTATAAAAGAGAGAGCCATTATTGGTTTGAAGAGAAAACTGAACCTAAAGAAAGGTCTAGAGAACTACAAGACTACTGCCAACTAACAATTTGAGCAACTGTGGAAAGCCTACCATAAATGCCCTTCCCGGATAGTGAGATCAACAACTAACTTATCCACCATCATGGAGCCCTCCTCTAGTACCTGTTTGAAACTGAAGCAAACACCCATACCTAAACACTAAGTCGTACTAGAATCTAGATGCAGATGGAGAGGACAAGACCAGGTTGCAGAAACACATAGAGACAGCTGACCTGAACGGGCCTCCAGACTGATAGCTGGGAATCCAGCATGGGACTGACTCAGGCCCCCCTGAATGTGAGTCTCAGCCAGAAGGCCTGAGCAGTCTAAGGGACCTCAGACAGTGGAACCAGGATGTATTCCTGGTGCACAAAAGGACCTTGTGGACACATCCCCCATAGAGGGACACTGCCTTAACCTGGAGACAGGAGAGGAAGTCCTAGTTCCTACTTCAAATGACTTGACAGATCAACATGCCACCCACCTGAATGGCATTGCCCTACAGTGGAATTGGGATGGGGGGGTGGAAGGGGAGGGTGGCCAGGGGCCATGTGAGGGGGCAGAGAGGTTAAGAGGTTAAGAGGGAGGGAGGGAGGGAGGGAGAGGGAACTGGGATCAACATGTAAAATTAAAAAAAAAAAAAAAAAAAAAAAAAAAAAAAAGAACCACACTAAAATTCACAATCATTATTTGGTCAATATATACAAAGCCACTATAAACAAAACAAGTGAGCTACTTACTGAATCCAAAAAGCAAAGGTAAGACCCTGTGCTCTGTGCGATTGCTTGGTTTTTAGAATATCCAACTATTAGAAAAAAAGAAAAAACAGCTCTTTTAGAATTCAATATTCAACAGCATAAAACTAAGTATATTTTATACTCTGAGAAAGCTAAGGTCATTTCACACTACTACCAAAACTTTAGGTATAATTTTGAGGAATGAAAGGAAGGTAAACAGAAAGCAATGTTCATGTTTGTTAATGACATCAGACAATGCCAAGGATAAGTCATGGCAGACATCTAGAACAGTATTAAAATAAAAGTAAAATCCTTGGGGAATCTAAAAAAATCTGTTACATGAGAGCGGAGTCTACCTTTGTGTGACTGGCTGGTAAATGCCTCGATTTGAATACTTCAATGGATGGTTACCTGAGCACTGGGTCCCTGGTGAGGTGACTGACAATGTCTGTAATGTATACGTACATTCAACCCAGGGCACTGCCTGAGCATGAAGACTCAGCTCTGACTGCAGCATGCACTAGTCATTACACACCCAAGAGAACTTGATTTAGTCATGATTAGTCATCCTAAAAGTCCAGAGCTGGGGCTACAACTGTATACTGGCGGGGGGGGGGGGGGGGGGGAGAAACAGCATATTTGACAGTGAGCATGAAGAGCCCAGGGTTTCACACAGCAACGCAGGTGATCCTCACTGTACTACTGAGTGAAGGACTCAGACCGAAAGGAGCAGCAACTGCAGAGGACACAGAACTCAAGAGCAAAGAGGTCCTTCTGGGCTTAAGAAAGTGGTTGTCCTGGATGGAGAAGCCAGCTTGGCCTGGGCTTCAGGGGCTGGTAATGTCTTATCCCCAGTCTTATCCCCAGGGGATAGATATTCAAGTGTTTGAAAAAGAAAAGTTTCCTTCAAAGATATTATAACTGAGTTTTAAAAAACAAAACATGCAAAACAAAAACAAAAAAAACCCGTAATGACAACTAAGTGAATGGTGCTGAAAAAGGGCAAGAGCTTAGATAAAAGATCATTACAGACAGAACTGTGCTGTAACTGATATAAAAAGGAAATGCAACAATGCAGGGCAGAACACTGGAGAGCACCCAGTAACTTTTGGGTGCACAGTTTTGGATGGAAGAATGAACCACTTCTAGAGAAGCTGGTCCTCAGGCAAGACAGTTTCAGAGGCTTGGAAATTTGGGACACTATGCAGAAAGTGATACAAGCTCAGCCTGGGTGTTCAGTCCAGAAGAGGGCACTAATGGGGCTTTAAAGAACATGAACTCTGTTTCTACAACAAACTACCAACACCCGAATCACATTAACCAGATAGTTAGTCTTGATGCCACTGAGGAAAGGCACACAAAGCAAAACAGATGTGTACAAAGTTGAAACACTAAATCTCTTTGGTATTTGAAGTTAAGACAAGCTGAAAAAAACTGTCAGTCCTGAGGGAACACCAGCCAAATGTGCATCTCAGCCAACTACAACCCTCTCCCACTTTCTGCTATAAGAAAGGCCTCTCATGCAGGGTCTGTTAATACAAAAGAGCTGCACCCCCCCACCCCAGGGGTGGGATGCTATGATTGAGAAGCAAGACACAAGACGTGGGAAGTTGTCCCATTCACTCATGCCCTTAAGATCCAACCCAAAGCAGCATCTTTCTGCAGGGTTCATACCAAGTAGCAGTTTAATTTCCACCCTTAATCCCTAGAACATGGCCAGTCCAAACCAGTTAGTAATGGTACCAGATTCTGAAGAACTATAGGCATAAACAAAAGTAAAGGCGGAAATGGCCAAGAAAGGTAATGTGATGCCTCCTACTCAGATTTGCCACCACAAGGAAATTAGCCATCCCTGCAGAGCAAGGCAAGCATGTAGAATAAAACTGAGAACCTCAAAAACAAAAACAAGATGACACTTGTCACAAACTCACTGAAATTAACAGAAGTCTGTTACAAAAGTTGCTTATGGAAAGTCAGATTTTAAGAGAAACTGAATCCTTCAATCTGTATAATGCTAGAATTTCTCACAGTGAATCTTATGTTTGGCAAAGACAAGGAATTCGCTCTAATATTATTGCCTTGAAGAAAGTCAAATGTTTGTGTGGGGGGGCTCCATGTTTGGGGAGGTCAGTCCCTTTGTGAGAGTAGATGGTTGTCATGGTTCCAACAGGAAAAACCTAGCTCCATGGAGATATTAACATTCCTCACCCCTGGAAGAGGAGCAGTGGGCTGTGGTTCATTCGCCTTTAGCAAAAAAAGTCACATGTCAAAGTATATTCCTGTTGTTCTATGAGTGTTATGAAAAATGAGTCTTACCCACTGCAAATAACCCAGGGAAAAACAGAACCTTTGAATTTATGCTAATTACTAAGGTAACACGTCCTACTTATTACAGCCAAACATGTCTTTCCAAAGAATCAGCTAAATTCTATTGTGCCATACAGGACTGCCATGAAGTCTCATTTGCTTCCCACAGACAAGGAGGTGATGTCATCTCCCAGCACTCCACCTGGGGACCTGAGTTTTACAATGTCCTTGTCATAAAGCAGAATGCATTCAGACACAGTGACAAGCCATTTAAGTTTTATGGGAGACAAAATCTGTTTTTAGAGTGGGGACAAGGAACATCAGTTACCAAAATGCCCTTTCCATTCAATGACAGGAGCTGCAAACCCCCTTTCACTAAAGAATATCAAGAAACATTTAGTTTCAAAAAACAAGTTCATGTTTCAGAAGTTGAAACATACATTCTATGATAGCCTATGTAATAAAACTAGGAAATAATTTCCAGAAAATATTAACATTTTCCAGATACACAAGATGAAGATGATGAGTGGCGGAAAGGATACTGCTAGAACTAGGTATCATTCCTCAGATGCTGTCCATCTTTGTGAGACAAGGTCTCTCTCAGGCCTGGATCTCACTAAGCAGGCTCAGCTGGCTGTTCCAGGGATCTGCCTGTCTCCAAACAAGCCACCACACCCAGATTTTTGACACAAGTTCTACAAATTAAACTTGGATCTTCATGCTTGTAAGGCGAACACTTTATTGACTGAGCCATCTCTTCAGCCCTAGGAAGTAGTTTTATTTAAATTTTGTCTTAAGAATTGTTCATGCTGTTCTGCTTCCTCAAACAGCGTTAATGATGCGGCAACATTAGGGTTCATCTTGACAGACCAGGTTCAGCTGAGTCTTGGCAGCCCAACAGTGCTGACCTCAGCTTCCAACATCTACTCTGTACTTCACCCAGAACAACAAACACAAGAAGAACTAAACATTAGCAGGAGACAGAAAGGGGAAGTAACACAAAGGGAGGGTGTGAAGTACAAGCTACTTTCGGAAAGCAGACAGACTATGCTTATTGAGAACTAACAGAAATGTTCTATCTTCTAAGGTTGGCCTAAGATCCTTAAGACACTGTAGCCCAGTATTCCACAGTACTTAGATTGGTGTCTGGATATTGGGGGAGGGGGGGGGATGATGACAGCCCCTGCTCCCAAGAGTGAAATAAGAATGGTGTAAATCAAGTAAAGCAAACATGGCCTATAATGCTGAGGGCTACTCGAGGCTGATGCCAGCCTGGGCTACATAATGAGATAGTGAAGAGAGGGAGGGAGGGAGGAACTATCACTATGAGACCTGAGGCCACAGGGCCATCACTATCATCCGTTCTCCTTACAGCAGTCATCCAGACACAACATGGGCAGAAAAGAGCAAGAGCAGGGAGAGAGGCGAGCTGTGTGGCACTAGGTCTGGTAACAGCAAGGCTTGTCTTCCTCTTATCCCCCTTCCTGAGAGCCACCAGACTATAACAAGCACACTCACACCTCCTGCTTCCTCCACCTTCCATCCACATAACTCTACTCTCCAAAATCCCAAGGCAGCTGTTTAGAGTCAGGCTTGGGGAACATAATATTGGATCTAAGTCTGTCTTAGCAGCAGCAGGTCCTACACACCAGGCCGTCACAAGTTGTATTCTAGAGGGAACCCTGCCTGCCACCTGCCTGCCCTTAAAATACACTGGAGCTAAATGGACTACCCCATCTGGACAATGTAAAATAAATAAATAAATAAATAAATAAATAAATAAATAAATAAATAGTAAAATGGGAACAGGGTGTGTGTTCTGGCTTGACACTAACTTGACATAAGCTAGAGCAATCTAAGAAAAGGGAAACTCAACTGAGAAAAAAAAAAAAAAAAAAAAACGCCTCCATCATATTGGCCTGTGGGCATTTTCTTGGCTGATGACTGATTTAGCTCAGCCCATTGTAGGTGATACCACCCCTAGTCAGGTGGTACTGAGGTGTATAAGCAAGCAAACTGTTGATCCAGAAAGTACAAGCAGGTAAGCTTCAATTTCTTTCTGTAGGTTTCTACTTTGAGCCCCGACTCCTTTAGTGATGAACTGTACATTATAAGGTGAAGTAAACCCTTTCCAAGATGCTTTTGTTAATGGTCTTTATCACAGCAACAGGAACCTGACAAAGACAGTATGCTACTCATGATATCTTAGGGCAGTGGCTTTCAACCCCAAATTTATCTCAGAACTCCTGTGATACAGCTACACATTTCCAGTGCTGAAACAGGACTCTAGTCAAGACAGATTGTGTAAGAACATCTTAGGCAGGGGTCTTTAAGTATCACAGATGGTTCCAAATGAGCCAACACTGGATACAAGTAACCTTGGAAAGTAACTTACCAACTCTACACCTGAAAAAAAAAAAATGCAGAGCTGATGAGATGCCTCAGAGAGTAAAGATGCATGCCACCATCCCTGAGGATCTGAGTGTGGTCCCAGAAGCCATGTGGCAGAAAGAGATCAACTTCACAAGTAATCTTCTGACCTACGAATGTGTGCCCTCATACTCACATCACAAATTTTAAAAGTTAAAAATGTTTAATTTTTTACTAAAAAGAACTAGCCAAAGAAGACCCATCTGTTGGTACAGAATGACCTGACCCGTCCCTTTTCTAATTTTAGCACTATGAGGCATATTCTTTCCAAATCTAAGACCTTAGAGTCCTTGACTCACCACAATGAGAAGACAGACTATACAGGAAATCA